ACAAACAAACAAACAAACGAACGAACGAACGAACGAACGAACGAACAAACAAACCAACAAACCAACAAACCAGCAAACCAAACAAACAACAGAACAAACCAACAAACCAAACAGACCAAACAAACAAACAAACAAACAAATACACCAACACACCAACAAACCAACAACCAACAGACCAACCAACCAAGCAAGCAACCAACCAACCAAACAAGCAAACAAACAACAAATAAACAAACGAACGAACGAACAAAGACACAAACAAGCAAACAAACGAACAAACAACCACACAATCAAACAAACAATCAAACAAACAAGCCAGCAAACATACCAACGAACGAACAAACAAACAAGCCAACAAATATACAATCAAGCAAGCAAGCAAACCAGCAAGCAAACAAGCAGACAAGCCAGCAATCAAGCAAGCAAGCAAACACATAAACAACGCACACACAAGGAAGCCAGCAAACCCACAAACTTTCAATCAAACAAGCAAAGAAGTAACCAAGCATGCACGCAAACACGCAACGAAGCGCGCACACACGCACACGCGCAAACGAAAACAACCACGCATACAAGCAAACAAGCAAACAAGCAAGGGAACAAGCAAGGAAGCAAGCAAGCATGCATGCAAGCAAGCAAGAACAAAAAAGCACGTGAACACACAAACACACATTCACAAATACACATACACACACACACAAACATGTAGGCAAACAAACAAAGAGCGAACAAACAACCAAGCAATCAAATGCACGCACACACACACACACATCTCCCGATGTGTGTGTATATATATATATATTTTTTATCTGCGTCTTGTTATATGCAGGCATACATGTGCCGGAACATATACACATATTATGCGCATACGAATGGTGTGATCACGTACCAGACGACGACCTCCAGTTTGCAGGCTTGAAGCTCTAAGTCCTACGCCAAGAGACACGAACTCTAAAGCGGCTCGGGGGTTTTGGGGTAAGTGTTTCAGGTTTTAGGGTTTAGGGTTTAGGGTTTAGTGTTTAGGGTTTAGGGTTTAGGGCTCGGGGTAAGTGTTTAAAGTTTCGAGTTTAGGGTCCAGGGTGTAGGGCTTGGAATTTAGGGTTTAGAGGTTTGGGTTTGGCATTTCCGGTTTAGAGTTTAGGGTTGAGAGGTTTGGGTTTGGCGTTTCCGGTTTAGAGTTTAGGGTTTAGGGCTTAGGATGGTAGCCACACCTCCCGAGAAAGGTACCCTTGGCCCGTGCACAAACAAATCACCCGGATCCCATCCACCCGGCACCCAGCCGACCAGGCCATGCGCACGGAGAGAAAGAAACCTCTTTTCCGCTTGTCCCTGCGACCAAAGAATCGAAAGAATGATACTACCCTAAATCCGAAACCCTAAACCCTAAAGCAATTCCAACTTCGCAAATGTGGTCCAGTTCGACGGTATGGGGGTAGTTTTTTTTTTTCCATGTCGAGGCGTTAGGATTTCGAGGCATTGATTCGTACTATAGGGGCCGTAATAATTACCTATACTATTTTGGGGGTTCCTTATTGTGATTATAGTATAATAGGTTCCAAAACCCCATTCTAATTATTAAGGCCCCTACTGTATAGGGTTTACTGTTACTGACCGTCCGTGCACTACGAACCCTGAGCCGGCTGAGCGAATTTATGGGTGAGTTTGGAAATCTCTGCAGTGGTACGCGGAGTGTTTAGGGTTCGGGTTTAGGGTTTCGGTTTGTGGGCTTGCGGTTTCAAGGTCCAAGGTTGAGCGCATTGGTTGACAGTTGGAGGCAACAATTTCAGGTTTAGCTCCTTCAGAGATGTAGTGTTAATTTCTTCCGTGCTTTTTTGGGGTTGGGGTTTGGGTTTGTAAGTTTCCAGCAGCTTCCTCCTTAATTAGCTTGGATGCTATATGCGTTATGCCGTTATGTACAGCACAGCTTCGGAGCAGTCAAAACCAGCACCCTAGTCACTCAACCCTAAACCCCAAACCGAGCATGTCCTTGCCCTGGTCTTGGGGCTTGGGTTTCGAGGGTCCTGGTCCCGAGTGAAAGCCCAACAAGCCTCATTTGCCTGTCTCGGCGTGGCATAGTTCCTAAGGCCCGAACTCCCAAACTGAATCCGACAAGTCCTGCAAACCTGATCTTATACACCCTACACCCCGAACCCTAAGCCCCGAACCCTAGACCTTAAACCCTAAACCCTGAAACCTAAACCCTGAACCCTAAACCCAGTTGTTGCTTCCCACGTGGCATCTTTTTCCTGACCATGGCGGCTTCCTGCGTTGCTGCTGGCACTCAAATGGCACCCTACGCCATGGCACGTCGAAGCTGCGCGGAGCTCCTGGACAAGGCCCAGAGAACCCCAAACTTTGAACCCTAAACCTAAGCCCCTCAACCCCTCAACCCCTCAACCCCTAAACCCCTAAACCCCTAATCCCTAAACCCACTCCTAAACCCTAAACCCTAAAACCCTAAACCCCTAAACCCTAAAACCCGTAAGCCCTAAACCCTAAAACTACTAAACACTAAGCCCCTAAACATGAAACCCTGAAGGCTTCGACTGAGTGGCTGGATTTGCCCTTCCGAGTGGACCGCGAAGCTGCATCAAGCTTCGCAGAGGAGTCTAGGCACAGTTTAGGCTTCAGGGCTTGGGGTTGAGGATTAGGTCTTCCAAAACCACCCAAAGTAGGTAAAATCATTTAGAAAAGGCTATTATTCTAGGTACTTTTGGGGTCCAGGAGTTATGTGGCCCATGCTGGCAAAATAAGGCCTCCAGGAATCTAACTCCCGAAGATCTGATTCTCAAAGAATCACAGTTTAGGCTCTAGGTTTAGGGTGTAGGGAGTTCATTCTCACTGACATGGGTCGTACACTTTGCACTAAACCCTAAGCCCTAAACCGTCATTTTGGGGCTTCCTGACTTCAGCTGAACAGTAGGACCAGGGCCGCCCCCTTTAGACCCTGAAGCCCTTAGCCATAAGCCCTGAAACTCGAAGGTTGGGGGGTTTAAGACTTTGGGTTTTGGGGTTGTAGGGTTTAGGGTTTAAGGGTTTGGGTTTGGGGTTGTAGGGTTTAGGAAGTTTAGGGTTTTAGGGTTTTGGGGTTGTAGGGTTTAGGGTTTACGGGTTTGGGTTTGGGGGTTGTAGGGTTTAGGAAGTTTAGGGTTTTACGGCTTGGGGTTTAGTGTTTTAGGGTTTAGGTTTCAGTTTTTTTTTCTGGCTTAGGGTTTAGGTTTTTTGGGTTTAGGGTTTGGGGGTTTAGGGTGTAGCCTCATTGTTAAAGGGTGTGCTGGGAGAACAAGGAGTTGGACGTCGCGAGGGTCAAAGCTTTCGGCGCTTCCTTGGCGACGGATGCCAACTTCACGGGAACAGCGTGCCAGTTTGCTTCGGTACCTGCGCAGAGCCATAGTTTAGGGTGTAGGGCGTAGGGTCCTCCCCAAGCGTCCCCCTAATCCTAACTCCCCAAAGCAAGCCTTGCGCAAGCCCTGTGCCCAGAACCCCCAAGCCTAAACCTGTACGCGTAAGCCCCAAACTCCAAAGCCCTAAACTCCCAACCCCCGAAACCCACGTAAATGACGAAGCCTAAGCTCTAAACCCTAAACCCCTGGACCCCTAAACCCCTTATCCTTACAGCCTCTGATCCCCTCAACCCCTAAACGCCTAAACCACCAACCCTAAACCCTAAACCCTAAACCCTAAACCCCAAACCCTAAACCCTAAACCTTAAACCACCAAAAACCCTAACAAAGGTAGATGAAGAAGCCGGCTTTATCCTTTTGCTGCATGCGCTTGACTTCGGCTCTGGGTGGCGACAGGAACTGCACAGACATCATGGAATCTGGACTATTTTTTGGGGGTCCTCATAACAATCACAGTATAATGGGCCCCCAAACCCTAAACCCTAAACTCTAAACCCTAAACCCTAAACCCCATTCTACTTATTAAGGCCGTTAGATTAGGATTTTGGGCTTTGGAGCTCAGCGCTCTTTGGACTTAAGGTTTGGGGCTTATATAGGGCCTTGGATTGAGGGTTTAGGATTTTGGATTTAAGGTTTATTCTAGATAGGGGGTACCATAAGACTGTTATAGGAGTGTTTAGTCTGGAGCCTTAAGAATTAAAGCAGGGTCTGTGGCTTTGGATCTAGGCTTAGGGTTCAGGGTATGGGGCCTCTGGGCTTGCAGTTGGGAGGGGGTCAGGGTTTGGGATTTAGGGCTTGTTAGAGTTCTTGAGGATCGTGTTTGGTGCGTAGCGGTTTTTTTTCTGAAAAGGGTAGAAGATGTAAAGCTGCCCCTAAACCCTAAACCCTAAACCCGAAACCCTAAACCTCCAGAGCAGCAGAGGAAAGGGGGCATATCTAACCATTAAGCCGGGCGTCGAAGCGCTCCATGCGAGGGCGGCTGCAGCAGGCTGAACCCCAAACCCTAAACCCCAACACCCTAAACCGTAAACCCC